CTCTCTCTCTCTCTCTCTCTCTCTCTCTCTCTCTCTCTCTCTCTCTCGCTCTCTCTCTCTCTCTCTCGCTCTCTCTCGCTCTCGCTCGCTCTCGCTCTCGCTCTCGCTTTGCCTCCTCTCTACGCCTCTTCTTCAGAAACAAAACAGCCAAATCCCCCCCTTTCTCATGGAAGCAACTCCCCTCCTGATGCTGGTGTCAGACCCCTGCAAACTCTGGGCTCCCACCTCTACCCTAAGCAACGGTCACCAAAGTCTTCAAACAAGGTGCTTCTCTCCCTCAGTGGGTTTCTGGTGCCAGCAGTTAAAATGTTAAACTTTTTTCCACCATATGAGATAATAATTACAGTGGCCAGCCCAAATCCAATATAATTATACCAAAGATCCCCCCCGCAAGGTCCACATAGTGGGGCCGTGGGTGAGAGGGTGCCACGAGGAAGGCCAAGTGGGCAGCAGGCGCCACTGGAGGGCAGTGACCCACAGAGGTGAGGCTGGACCAGGATCCCCAAACTCGGGGCTGGTGGACAATAGGGAGTGGTGGGGACTGTGGTAAACCAGGGAGCCCACGCTCCATCCAGAGGCCCAGTGGAATGTTGCCACGTGGAAAGGTGGCCAGGTGCCCGTTCTTCCAGAGAGCTTGGGAAAAGTCTATGTTATACTGAATTATTCAAGCATTGGCGACTAAATTTAATTTTTTAAAAAATATACATCAACGGGACAAATAAAACATATTAATCAACATGAATAGTCCGGAGGCTGAGAGTTTGGTTTCTGCATTAGGAATCAGCTGGCATCCACTCGCTGGGCACTTAATATGTGGGAGGCTCTGCATAAAGCGACCCCCCCCACGGGCCTTTCTCCTGTACCCTGTGAGCCCTGTAAGGAGGTGCTGTCCTCCTGCCCCGCATGGAGGTGGACTCAGGCCCAGGCCCGTGGTCACTTCACAGGCACAGGCCAGACACGTCCCCCATCAGACCTGAGAAGCTCTCCCTTGGAAGCTTCCTGGCCCTGGGCCCCCAGAACGGAGCCCCTTCAGCCTCAAGTCCCCAAGTGGGGTGCTCGTAAATTCTGCCCTGCTCCTTCCTGGGGGGCCGTCCTTCCGTGACCCCCGTGGCCCCCGCACCCACGGCTGCGGATCAGGGCTGAAGCGGCAGGGCCCGCGGCGCCGGCCTGTGGGGAGCGCACAGAGGATGGCCGGGAGTCGGTCCAAACCCGCCATCCCGGCCGAGTCTTTCCCTCCCGTGGCGAGAACCCACAGCAGAGGCCGCAGCTCCGGGCAGACAGGGGGGGGCTCCCCACCCTCGGGAGGGGTCCTGGGCATGTCGGCAGGCGGAGGCCGGGCAGGGTGGGGAGTGGCCGTGGGGAAGGTGACCTGGGGCTTCAGAGCTGGGAGGGGGAGGGGAGGGCAGGGCACAGGACTGGGGGCGGCGGCTTCCCTTCCCTGGAGGCAGGGCTGGAGTCGCCGCTCGGCCGAGGCCGAGCCCCTGGGCAAGCGTGTGCCGGGAGCAGAGAGGGTCAGGGCTGGAGCGCTGGGAGCCCCGGGGGCGGGTAGGGTCAGACTCAGCCCTGGGACCCACACCCAGCCCGGGGCTGGCCCCGGGCAGGGGCTCAGGAGCGAACTCAGTGGGGACTTGGAGCAGGTCCCTCTGGACTCCGGCCTCAGGTGCCCTGTCTTAAAGGCCAGGACTGGACCTGGTGCCCTCCGAGTTCCCCCCGGGTCTGGGCAGTCCCATGGGGTGGGCAGAGGCAAGCGGAGGGCCTTGGGACAGCCAGCCCCTGGGGAGCGTTTGGAGGGCCCAGCTCAGAGGGCCCAGTTACAGGGTTTTCGTCCAAGGGTCACTCGGGTGGGGATCCTCGCATTCAGTGAGAGCAGGCGGTTCAAACGACAGGTGTTTCTTGTCCCTGGAAAGATGGTTGGCAGGTGCCTGGAGCTCTGCCCGCCTGGACCATCGCTCTCCTTCCCACCCACCCACCCCACACCCGGCTCCCCGGGCCTCGCAGTGGCTTCCTGCGGTGGGATGCAGGCAGTGCAGGGATCAGTCCCGAAGAAACCAGGTGCTGGTGGAGGAATGCCTCGTCCAAGGTCACAAACCAGCCTGGGTCGACCTGGAGTTTGAGGGGAGGCTGGTGTGACCCCCCAGCCTGTCAGGCTGTCTTGGGGGAGGCTGGGCAGGTGGGCACAGCACACCTGGTGCCCTGAGCGGCTGTGCCCTCCTGTCAGCAGGGGCCCCCTCTGTGAGGGACCAGGGACGGGCTCCGCTGATCTCGGGGGGCTATGGACTCATGGCGTCCCTGGGGTCAAGGCTCTGAGCCAGGTGCTCAGCAGCTCTCTGAGCGCCTACTGTGCTCATGGATCCGGGCTGGGCGCTGGAGAACAGGGATGAGCAAGACCCATCCTGCCCTCCGGGACCTCGCAGACCCCGACCTGCAGCAACAGCTGTGCTTCCTCGTGGCTGCAGGACTCAGGCAGGCAACTCCCTACTCCGAGCACGTGGCCTCAACTGAATAAATCAAGGGTGGAGGGATGGTAACACGTGTGTGCCTTGCAGGGCTGCTGGGCTGGTGCCCCTGGGGTTCACCAAGTAGCACTTCCCAACCTGCCTCCCCAACACGAAACCAGATGAGGGATCCTGGGGCCCAGAGAGGTGCAGTGACTCGCCCAAGGTATCCCTGGCAGAGATGGGACCCAACCCCACCTCCTCCCTGCCCCTGAGGCACTGTCTGCTCCTCCGTCCAGGGGTCCCGATGGTCTTAACAGGGCTCTGGGCAACAGACGGGCAGGGGGCAGTGTGTGGGCCTGGAGGCCAGTCGGGGGAGCCGGCCAGGCAGGTGGGACATCTGTGGATCCGTGGGCACTGGAGCCAGCTCTGAGCTCCAAGCCAAGAGAACCAGTCTGGGCGCTGCCGGCTCGTTACAGAAACGTTTAATAGTTTAGGAATGCGTACACTCTGGCTCTGCTAAGTCTCCATAAAGGCAACTTTTCCATGTTTTAAAAAATAGATTCGCTATAAAGATTTATATATTCATAAATAGGCAATGTGAAAAATCCCCAAATGCAATGGCATCCTTGGGCTGAGGCCCTCCCCACCCCAGCCCAGGTGCAGGCTCAGAGGTCTCTGAGGCCCCAGCCTCGGCAGCCCTCCGGGGAGAGGTAACTGCATTCAATGTGAATTAGGAATTTCCTCCAGCTTCACGCCCGCTGGGGCCTGTGTCCTTGAGCTCCACCCCCAACACCCACCCGCCCTCTGGACCGGGCCCACCTCTCTGGCTCAGGAGTCAGGATCCCTGTCCCTTGCCTGCCCCCTTCCCGGGAGTATAAAACACCAGCCTTCCTCTGGTCCTTCAGCCCAGGCCACAGACCGCCCTCCTCCACCAGATGGCTGGGACACTTCCCGGCCCTCCTGCCGGGCTTCCTCTCCTGGCCCCTGACCCCTGACCTCACCTGCTTCTGTTCTTGGGTAACTTATAAACAAAGGAAGAGGTCCTGGGAGAGGGAAGAGGCGGGGCCGTGCTGTCTTACACAGTTCCCCGTTGTCCCTTGGCCAAGTCCATCCATCCGGGCCCCTCTGACAGAGGACTTAGGCCCAGAGAGGTAGTGAGGCCCCAACCTGCCAGGGCACCCCAGAGCAGGCAGCCAGCAGCGCGCCCAGGGAGGCCCTGAGCGCTAGCATTTGGCTCTGAGACGGAAGACGGGAAGCCTCCGTAGGAAACGGCTTCAGGCCAGGATGGGAACCTCGCAGGCCAAGGGTGGGTAGGGAAGGAACGCATTCTTGCCAGGGGGTACGATGAGCAAAGGACCAGCTGGTCATCTGTGGGATTCTAAATGGCACGTATTCAAGGGCAGGGTCGGTAAGCGGGAGCGGGGCAGGAAGGGGTCTGCCTGGACAGAAGCTGCTCCTGTGGGCAAGACGGTGCGGGGGAGAAGGAACGGAGCTGTGTGAGGCCTTGGACACCCGCGTGAGGATGGACTGCATCCCGAGGGCCCGGGGGGGGGCGACTGGAAGGTGTCAGGATGGGGGAGGGACCTTTCATAGCTGCCCCCCTCACAGCAGCAGGTTGGTGCTTGGGCTGGTGGAAGCCCAGGCCAAGGAGGTCAGGGAGGCATCCAGGGGAGGGGATGGGGCCCATCTGGGCAGAGGGGCCGGGGCCACGGTCGTAGGGTGGGGGAGAAAGTGGGGAGCCCGAAATGACCCCTGAGTTCTAGGCTACAGCCCTGGAGCGAGGCTGCTCCGTGCGGAGGACAGGTGGCAGGAGACCCACTGGGCCCTGGGATTGTGAAAGGAGAGAGTGAAGTGCTGCTTCCTTGGTTCTGGGTGAGGAAGGGCCACCGTGAGGCCACCTCCCCTGTGCAGGGTTCCGGGCACAGGAGTAGGGGGATGGCTCACAGCCCAAGGTGGCAGGTGAGCCCCCGTCACCGGTGTTTCCTGTACCTGTGCACCCTAGATGCTCCGGGCAGCCCGGCAGGGCTCCTTCTGGAGGAGGTGAGCTGGGGGCCTCCCTCCTTCCCTAAGCCCTGTGAGGCAGCCCTGGGCCCGGGGTCAGTACCTGTGCTCGCTGGAACTGGGGCGCAGTCCCGGCCGCTGCTCCTTGCATGCACCCCACCCCCCAGAGCAGCAGGTCTGTGCAAGGCGGTCTTCAAGAGACTTCCCTCCCAGCTGGGCCTGGACCTAACACCCAGCTCTGCCCAAACATCAGCCCCCTGCAGAGAGGTCATGGGGCCGGAGGACCTCTGCCCTTGGCCTGGGGGACCTCTGCCCTTGGTTGCCCCGGTCAGCCCCTCTCTGGGGAACCCCTCAGTGCAGGTGGAGGGGCTGGGCCCCATCCCATCAGCAGGGACGGGGGAGGGAAGCCAGGCAGGCTTCTTGCTCCCACTTCCCAGCCCACTCGTCCGACGGCGGGCTGACCCCTGCTCAGCAGCTCCTGGCCCGTCCAGGCCAGCGTCCTTCCCCACCAGGACCAGGCTCAGCCTCCGCGGCTGGAAGGGCCAGCAGCCCTGCCTGACCCGCCTCCTGGGGCTGCCTGGCAAGGTCTGACTTCCTGCTCTGCGTCCAGGCCTGCCTGGGAGGGTTTGACGCAGACCAGGTGCTGGGATGGAAGGCAGGGAGCCCGACTGCAGCTGTGCGGCACCTCTGGGCTCTCAGGGGCCCTGGGCTGTGTGTCCCTGATGTGGCCTCGCCCAGGGCTCTGAGAGCAGCTGATTTCCTGGGGCCCCACACTGGGGCGGGGGGCCTGCAGGGCTGAACTGGTCTGATGGGAGCGACTGGGATTGGCCTGGGAAGACCACCTGCTCCCCCAGTCCAGTCCCTGCGCTCCTCTGAGCTGCACCCAGAGAACGAACGGTGCTGCTTCCAAGTGCCCCAGTGACCCTGGTCCCCTGCTGTCTAACCTCAGTGCCCAGTGTACACACAGGCCATTAGAGTGGGTGGGCCCAGACCCAGGCCTGCCGGGGCCTCGCCTTTTCTGTGCGGGGAAACTCTCTAAGCTGGTCTGGGAGCGGAGGGGGAGCTGGCACTCTGAACGTGGCACGAAGGATCTCTGCAAGTGGGGTGGGACAGGCTGGGCTCAGGGGTGTGAGCGTTTACTTTTCCCTTAAATGTCCGCACTCCTATCTCATTCCCACTACCCCCCAGCTTCCGAGAGCCAGAGCTAAAGGATTCACTGCTTTTGCAACCTGAGTGGCAAAACTTTGGGCCCCAAGCCAGCAGACGAGCGCTGTGGGCCGTGACACACCGTAGTAGTCCCGGTGAAAAAAAAACGAGAAACTCCATGGAAATGGGAGAGGGAGGCCCCGCTGAGGCAGGAGCCGCCTGGGGCTGTGAGCTGAGAGCTGGCCTTGAAGGAAGGAGGGAGGTAGGGAAACCCTGGGACGGAGCTCAGGACTGAGTCTGCTGGGCCGTTGCTCCTGCACAGGAGGCCCTGGAATGCCCTGGGAGGACCTGGAGCTCCGGCCACATGCCTGGAAAGCAACACCCTGCCGGGCAGCGTGTAGCCCGGGAGGCCCACTCCCAGCCCCTGGGCCAAGGTCCACACCGTGTAGCCCGGGAGGCCCACTCCCAGCCCCTGGGCCAAGGTCCACACTGCTGAGCTCGGGCCAGTCCTGGGACGTGCACGTAAGGCGGGGACAGCAGCTGGCTGACAGGAAGGGCCCCACACCCTACCCTGTGCCAACAGGGCCTCCCGCGGGAGGAATCCTGCTTCTTCCTTCCTGGAGGGTAGTGCTCCCATCAAGCATCCAGGCCACAGGCGGGGTAATTCCAGGCCTTTATCTGGCTGGCACCCTGGAGGCCAGCTCTGGAGGGCTGGGCGAGGAGGCCACAGGGCGGGAGGAGGTGGGGCAGCCCCGCCTGCCTGCCCTGCACCCCGGTCAGCACCCGCATCCCCAGCTCTCTCCGACGTCCTTGCTGTCCAGCTGGATGTGGTCAGTGCCCTTCTCGCTGAGCAGAGGGCCCCCGTGCCGCATGACCAGCTCCGTGGCCACTCTCACGAAGGCCTCATCCACGTTGCTCGAGTCCTTGGCCGACGTCTCGATGGCGCACAGGATGTCGTGGTGCTCTGCCAGGCTCTGTGCCTCGGCCAGCGGCACCTCCCTCAGCTCCCTGAGGTCCGACTTGTTCCCTGCGGGGAGGTGGGGCAGTGGTGAGGCCCAGGGCCCAGGTGGGTGTGGCTACAGCTAAAGGCAGTGAGGCTGAGAGTCTATCTTTAATGCTCTTATCCCATCCTTTAGTCCCTCATCTCATCTCTTCCTTATCTTTGCCAGGGGCTTGCGCATTTTATTGCTTTTTCCTAAGAAATAGAAGCGGGAAGGTTTGGTGAAAAGAACAGGGTGCTTAGAGCTGGAAGAAGACCTGGGTACAGACGCCAGCTTCCTGTCACCTGCTGTGTGACGCTCGGGTAACTCACTCCATCTCTGAGTCTCAGCCCCCCATCTATGACGCCACCTTCTGCAGAGCAGGGATTAAATGACACAGTGGACACAAGCTAGCACCTAGCGGGCACTCCACCAACGCTGAAGTTAAAGAAATCTGGCCTCTTGCGATTTGTTTTTGGCTAAAATTTTGTCATTTTTCTGATTATTTATGCTCTCCTACTTTCCTTTGGAATTTTATAATTCTCTGTAAGATTGTGGGTTTTGATTATTTTGCTTTTCTGATAACGAGAGCACAGACTACAGCTGCCCCTGAGAGCACACCTTTCCCTCTCCCATGAGGTGTGAGTTGTTTCATTATGTTTTAAATAATCTGGTCAATTGCTCCTTGGTCTAATTTCTACAAGAATTTTTTTTAAGTCTCTAAGTGATTGACTTTTACAATGTGATTATAGGGACAAAAAAAAATAGATAAGCATCTATGAAGATCTAGGGACTTCCCTGGTGGTCTAGTGGTTATGGCTTATTGCTTTCACTGCCGGGGCCCGGGTTCAATCCCTCGTCGGGGATCTAAGATCCTGCAAGCCACGCGGAATGGCCAAAAAAAAGAAAAAAAAAAATCTAAAATTTCTTTGGTAACCTTAAACAATGCAACAACCAATTTCAATGTTTGGAACTTATTTGGATCCTGATTTCAACAAACTGGAAAGAAAACCGCATGTGATATTTATGAGCAATTATAAATCTGACCACAGATCAGCTAAGTTGATTGTATTAGGAGATGTCAGTATGTTTTAAATGTGAAAAGCGTACTGTTATTATATATTTTTAAGTGTTTGTATCTTTTATAGATTCATGCTGGAACATTTGCAAATGAAATCATTTGGTGTTGGGATTTGCCTCAAAATAATATGAGGTCGGGGAGGGGCCGAGGGCTGAAATGAACGTGGACAGGACTTGCCGGCTCTGCTCAATCTGGGGTTTGTTACGCTATTCCTTTTATGTCCTTGTATAGAGTGCGCTATGATAGAATGTTTTATTTTAAAAGTCCTGGATTGGGAATTCCCTGGCAGTCCAGTGGTTAGGACTTTGTGCTTCCACTGCAGGGGGCCCCGATTCGATCCCTGGTCAGGGAACTAAGATCCTGCAAGCCGAGCGGCGTGGCCAAAAAAATAAATAAATAAAGTCCTGGATGAAAGGGGAGCATCAGGCCACGTAGGGAGGACTCCCTTCCTGCCCGGGGAGTCCAGTCCGCCTAGAGCACCCACACCCCAGTCCAGGCCCATCTGCACTCGCTCACCGTAGAGGAATCAGCCTGACTGTTGGGACGAACACCCCAGGGACCACACACATGGTCCAAAGCTTCTTGAATCCAGGCCCGAGAAGTTTACGCAGGAGGGAAAGGTAAAATGGAGGTCATGGCACCCCCTGCAGCGTCGGTTCTCAAAGTGGGATCACTGTGTCACCCGGGAACTTGTTAGAAATGCACACACGTGGGCCCACCCAGTGCTCCTGAGTCAGATGCTCTGCGGGTGGTGCCGGCGTCTGCCCTCCACCAAGACTTCGGAGTGGCTCGGAGGAGCGTGGACACCTGAGAAGCACCCCTGCAGGGTGGCCGACAGAGCAGGCCACTGAATCACGATCGGCCACGTTTACACGCTCACAGGCTATGTGGACGGGATAAATGACTTCACTTTTCTGACCCTCGGCCCCGTCCCTGACACATGAGGAGCAGGCAGGGTTATGAGAACACACATGATGAAGACCGAACTAGCCTGGACCAAGGTGCGGCCACGTGGCGACCGCTTCCTGGCCTGCGTCGTCTCATTTCCACTTTGTAACTTTACAAGTGATTAGCAGGATCTGAAGTTTCTTTTTTTTTGGCCGCGCCTCGTGGCACGTGGGATCTTAGTCCCCTGAGCAGGGATCGAACCCGCGCCCCCTGCAGTGGAAGCTCAGAGTCTTAACCACCGGACCAACAGGGAAGTCCCCGAATTTTCTAGATCATGGTCCTGGCTCCGCTCCTACCTGGCCAAGCTCAGCCTTCCCTGTGCTCTGTTTTCCCTGTGTTCAGAAAGGAGAGAGAGACTGAGACAGACAGACAGACGGGTGGACCGCAGGGGCCCCCGCTCACCGATGAGCAGCTGCACGATGTTGGAGCCCGCATACTTCCTCACGTCCTCGATCCAGTGAGGCACCGACAGGAAGGAGCTCCTCTTGGTGATGTCGTACGCCAGGATGGCCCCGTTGGCGCTGCGGTAGTAGCTCTGGGTGATGGTGCGGAAGCGCTCCTGGCCAGCCGTGTCCCAGATCTGCAGCTAAAGGAACAGGGGTCCCGTGAACCCGGGGGTGCAGCCAAGCGCAGGGGACGGGGAGGCCGAGCCCCCAGACCCATCCCCAAAGCGCTGCTTCCGGGGGCAGGCCACCGGCCACACCTCGGCAGGCACCACGTAGGACGGACCAGAAGGTGGACAGCGGAGAGGCCTTCTGAGCCCTTGGAAGGCAACTCAGCGGCCTGAGCAGGACGGGGGGAGCAAAGTGGAGGCGGGTGGCCCCGTTTCCACCTCCAGAGCCCCAGGACAAGGGGGTGGGTTCTGCACCGTGGTGGGAAGCACACTGGACCCCGAATCCTCTCTGCCCTGGACATCAGGTTCGCTGCTGGCGCCGTGTCTACTGCCTGCCCCTCTGGGCCATGAGTGCCCGCTGCCCCCACCGTAGGGAGGCCCCCAGCACTCGGGCTCTCTGTTCTGCCTCAGCGGCACCGGGGAAGATGCTCACGCTGAGCAGGGACGGCCCGGCGAGGCTCCTATCAGGCGGCCTCTGCCATCAGCTGGCGCAGCCTGCTAACCCTAACCCCGGTCCCGACCCTCCGCCCGCCCAGGTCCTCACTTCACCAGCACCCATCAGGGCCACTGCCGGGCCTGCCTGGACAGGCGCCTGGGGGCGGTGGGAGCATCCCTGGCTTCCAGCAGCAGCAGCAGGATGGCGGCAGGGACCCCAGGTAGGGCCGGCGGAGGCTGGGCCATGGGCCAACCTGGATGGTCACTGTGCCCGGGCCAGGAGGCTGCGCCGTGGAGGGCACCAGAATGGGCGGGTCCAGGGCTCTCAGTGGCTCAGGGCCTGCCTTCTCTGCTCCGCAGACCACAGGTCCTCGGGGCCCTGAAGATGGCATCCTGAGCCGCAGGCCATCCACCCTCCTCCACTGGCACAAGCACTCCAGGTACCTCTTTATCCCGTTCTCAAGGGGCGTCCAGGGTGGGGACAGACCCAGAGGCCTCAGACAGTTCCTGCGGGCAGGACTTCTGGCCCTGGCACTGTGGAGGTGACCACCTCTTCCTGGGCCTCACAAGAGGGCTCCACCGGTTGACGCGCTCTGAGCCACGACTCGCCAAACCAAACCCCCGGCCTGAGACGGCCCATTTGCTCCGCAGGGTGAGAGGCTCCAGGAAGCAGGCCCCGGGGCACAGCGCACACAGGGGTGACGTGAAAGGCGGGACCTCGGCACCACACCAGCCTGGGATCCAGACGACCTAGGACTCCCCTCCACACCCCAGAGGGGAGCATCAAACACAGAGGCCAAGCAGACACGGGAAAAGGCAACTCGGCGGAAATAGAAACTAGGCAGAGTTTCTCAAAACAATCTCCAAAATAATCATCAGTGTTTTCAGAGATAAGAAAAGGTCCATGAAATGATAAGAGAACACTCTTATTTTAAGTAGAGGGAACATTCGGAAAGGAAAAACGAGCTCTTGAAAATTAAAAATATAACATAAATGAAAAATGCAACGTAAGTGTTGGAAGGTGAACTTGAAGAATTTCCAAGTGGGGAAAAAAATGCAAAGAGATGGACAAGAGAGAAAAAGAGTCGCGGAGCCAGCCTAGAAGGTCCGCCAGCAGGACAGTAAGAGTTCTGGGAAAAAAAGAACAGTAAAATCAAAGAAATGCTTCAAGAAAATTCCCCAGAACTGATTGAAAAGGCCCATTAAGTACACAATGGAGGAAAACAGACCCACACAAGACACTTGGTCGTGGGAACTCCAGAACAGTGAGGAAGAAGAAAGGACCCTAAAAAGTTGCAGGGAGGGGCTTCCCCGGTGGCGCAGTGGTTGAGAGTCCGCCTGCCGATGCAGGGGACGCGGGTTCGTGCCCCGGCCCGGGAAGATCCCCCATGCCGCGGAGCGGCTGGGCCCGTGAGCCATGGCCGCTGAGCCTGCGTGTCTGGAGCCTGTGCTCCGCAACGGGAGAGGCCACAACAGTGAGAGGCCCGTGTACCGCAAAAAAAAAAAAAAAGTTGCAGGGATAAAAAGAGAGAGAAAGGAAAAAGGGGTGTGAAGCCTTCACGGAAAAGATCCATATCGCATTAGACATTCAATGAAACCTAAAATTACCTAAAATTACAAGGGAAGATAATTTCTAGCCTAGAATTCTCCACCTAATCACTATGAGTCAAGTGCGATGGTTTAACAAAGGCATTTTCAGACATAGGGGCCTCAAAAAATTGACCTTCCTGCCACCCTTTCTAAGGAAGCTGCTGAAATCAACCAACACGAAGAAAATGGGGGGTCCAGAAAGAGAATTCAACTCAAAAGAGAGGCGAAGGGAAACCCCGGGGTGGTAGGGAGATCCCAAGACAGCAGCCAAGCTGCAAGCCAGGATGCGGGCTGGTCGGGAGCCTCCAGTCCTGGCAGAGTATTTAGTGGCTGTTGAGACCTCCCTCCTTAAACAACCGGGAGACTGAGAAAAACATGGGAGGCTACTGTTTTCAGGATGTAAACAACACAGCACGAGACCCTAATCCTTGAAAGAAGCAAAACTCATGGAAGGCGCCTCATGATTGCCAGCATTCTACTGGGGATGGTTTTCTGACCACAGGACAGGGGGCTAGACTCCAAGCAGGGCATGGAGCCTGGAGCAGCTGGTGTGACTGGAATGAGGACCGATGTTGGGGGTGGGGTCCCTGGTGGGTCCTAGCCCGCGGGCTCCGCACACAGGGTGAGACTCCCAGGTTCTAACCAGAGAGCGGCTCCTCCGGGGGTAAGAACACACCAGAGATGGAGGCTAAACAGTGCTGGGGGATATTCCAACCCAGCCGCGGGGAAGAGGCCTCCTTAGCACCTTGCGAAGGACCCAGATATGGAGCTGAGACATCAGGAAGGCTGTGCCCTACGAGTGAGGACCATGGCAAGAGGCAGGCCTCCCGACACCTGCCCAAGAAACCCTAAACCAAGCTCTCAGGTTTGGAGGCCGCGTTCTGTCAAGGTGAAAGGCTAGAGAAACACTGTCAGACTTGCATCTCTCTGCCCTGACAGAACATGAAGACAAGCCACACAGGTTCAAGGTGATCAGCCAGTCACTGAATTGACTACTAGGATATGAATCAGTGCCCTTCAAACACGATCCAGAGTCACTAGCCAGTATCAACCAGTATTTCCAGTATACAATTAAAAACCTGCTAAACATGCAAAAAAAAAAAAAAAAGACAATTTGACCCCAAGAGAAAAGCAGTCAATAGAAAATGATGCCAAAATGGCCCAAATATTGGATTTAGTAGACAAAGACTTTAAAGCAGTTATTTTAAATATAATCAGAGCATTAAAGGAAAACATGTTCGAAGAACTGAAGCAAAATATCACTCTAAGTGGGCAAATAGGGAATTTCAGTTAGAGAAATGGAAATTATTTCTAAAAACATATTTTAAGAGGGTCAAAATTCTAGAACTTAAAAGTACAGTAAGTGAAGTGGAAAATTCATTTGATGAGCTTAACGGCAGAATGGAGACAGAAAAAAAGAATCAGTGAACTTGAAGAAAAATCAATACCAAGTATTTAATCTTTGATTAAATAAGATCTTAAATCTTAAGATAAGCCTCGATGAATCTTAAAAGATTGTATTCTTCTGTAAGAAGAATATTCTCTAGCCACAGAATATTCCTCTAGCCACAGAATATTCCTCTAGCCACAGAAAATCTAAAACAGAAATTAAGAATGCTCTGGGAGAGACTTCTTTAAGAAGACGGAGCTGAGAGGCAGCAAGACGTTGCGGGGACAATTACACAGTACGTGGGGTAGATGGAGAGGGTGAGTGTGCCAATTAGGGGAGGATTTGGAGCTGAGTTGATGGTGAATACATAGACCCCATGCAGAAACAAGATGATCACGACCACCAGGAAAAACTAGGGAGCACGGGGAATGAAAGATAGTGCTACGTGGCTCAGCCGTGGACAGCTCTCACTAAGCAAAATGTGTTCATTGAGCCATTTCAACAGCGCTTACTGGACACCTGCTCTACGTTCTAGGTACCAGACAGAGCAGAGGAAGCAGACGCAAATTCCTGGGCTCAAGCTTACAGTCTAGCGCAGGAGACAGATGCTAAGTAAGATAATAAAAAGTAATACGGATACTACGGAAATACAGAATATAAATAAAATATTTATCGTAAAATAAGTAATACAATAATCAGTATATGCTAGATAGTGATAAGATAGAAAAAACAAGCAGGGCAAGAAGTTATCAAGTATGGTGAGGAATGACGTTTTAGATAGGAAGGCCTCATTGAGATAAAGATCTGAAGAAAGCGGATGCCTGCGAGACAAGCATTCCAGGGACAGAGAGAGCAAGTGCAAAGGCCCTGAGGCAGAGACATGACTGGTGCACGAAGATCAGTGTGTTGGGAGCAGAGTGAAAAGGGAGAGAGAAATGAGGGATGACCGAGGAATCATCGGGCCAGATCATGCAGGGCCCCGGAGACCACAGCAAGAACTTTGTCCTTCACTGTGAGTGAAGGGGAAGCCAGGGAGTTTTGAGCCAATCAAATTTATTTTTAAACAGGATCACTCTGACTACTGTATGGACAACAGATCAAAAGAGAGCAAGGACAGGGAATTCCCTGGTGATCCAGTAGTTAGGATTCCATGGGTTCACTGCTGAGGGTGCGGGCTCAATCCCTGGTCGGGGAGCTAGGATCTCACGAGCCATGCAGCCAAAAAAAAACAGGAAGAACAGAAACGGGGAGCCCAGTTAGACGGCTGTGGCCATAATCCAGGTAAAAGACCACAGTCGTAGCAGTGAAGTTAGGGAGAAGTGATCAAATTGGGGCTATGTTTTGCGAATAGAACTGAAAGGAACTTAATGCTGATCTAATCAACATTACCACACACCTCTCTACTGGGAGGACGCAAAGTGTGTGCATGTGTGTGTGCGTGTGCGCGCGCGTGCACGCGTGCACGTGTGTGATGGGGGCTAGGGTAGTGCTGAGAGTTAAACCCTCATCTTCCAAAGCAGGAAGTCAATAGATGATGCGTGTACCTGGGGGAGGAGGG